CACTGTATTAGCTTCACGTGTCCTCCTAACTTCGCTGAGCCCTATGACATTCCATTTAATATCCTCCAATCCTTCGAATAGCACAGCTAGATTAGCCTCACTAGGTAGTGATCTATCGTCGAAGGCAGCCAAGTTTATAATGCAAGGGTTATATATGTGGTGGAATTAAAAATATATGGCACTCACCTGTTTGTAGCTCTAAGGTCTACATGAAAGTTACGACAGATGCCAGAAAAAGGAAGCGCTTTAGTTGAAAAACTAGTTACGCTGGTGAGGGATTCAAACCCTAGACCGGTGATTTTCCGGGGCGGTCTCTGAACCGTATGAGATGAACATAGGAGATGGAAGGGCTAGGGTGCATCGCAAAACTATAAGCACACCTATAGTGAACCTGGTGTACATTTGCAGAATTGATTACAGTATCGACCATTACCAGTCTTTTGTGGTTGGCTGAGAAGCTTTTAAAAGAAGCTTTTAAGAGAAGCTTTTAACAGTTTAGATTTCCTTGTATTCCTATAGTAGCTTTTAGGAGAGTTTTAAACCTCCATTCCTCTGAGCAGAGACCCTCATAGGGTGGCGCCCAATATAATATTCGTCTTGTCAATCCGTTTCAGCATAGCAAGAGCAGCGGCACGTGTTGCTATTCAAAAAACTCGCGGTCACCTCAATAATTACTCTCCAAGACCAAATAATAAAGCTAGTTTTTTTTAATGGAGCAGTGCACAAAAGGTTACAAAAAACACACATAGGAAGGACGCAAACACAAGCGCTGTTGCGCTGCCTAATTTATAGATCCTTTCTCACCAACCAGCCCATCAGTACATGTGAAGCAGGCTTTTTTTAAGGTGTGCAGGAGTGAAGAAAATTTACATTTCCGCTTTCAGTTAAAAGAAAGGCGCTTGAAGTTAAAGTATAACTCTTGTAATGTAATTTGTAGCTTGAAGTCAACTATTTGAAGTGCTTGACTAGACAGAGGAACAAAACTGTTGAATATAAGCGGGCTACGCACTAAGGTGTTTTATCTGCGAATACTATATTCCAAAGGCTACGCTGGTGCCTAAAACCGGAAGCCACCCTGAAGATGTTTATGTACAAAGCGAAAAGGTCTATAGCGGACTGATGGACGGACGCACACGCACGCGCACATTTTATAATACTCAGGAAAGCCAGTTTGTTTACAACGTTTTCTCGCAGGTCACAGAAGTTGTTTGGGATGATCAGATTGTCTAGACGTGAACCTATGCTTATGAACAAATATTTTTCGAAGTGTACTGAGGGCATTTACTTAATGTGCTGATCTTACCAACCCCTCAGAAAATGGACATTTTGGAAACAGTTTTTCAAAAATAATTCGTGATGTAAAGGATTATTAATAGTCGACCTTGAATCAAATTACTAGATGTGACTCTGAACATTTACTGTTTACAATGCGATCATGAGGTAGAAACCCGCTATATATATTTTCACGCCTACTTAACCGAAAAGAAGTAGGCAGGATGCACGCGTCTTCAATATGACGCCATATTCTTAATGCGCAATACAACTGAAGAAAGAAGAGTGGTAACCTCAAAAAATCAAAGTGAATGTTCGCTGAATCTCGGGTAAATACCTTCACACGCCGATAGTTCGCGAATCACGTGCCAAAAAGCTACGCCGAGCAGGGCGATGACCCATCACGCGCTGTGTCCCGAGAAAATACGTGCAGCAGTACGCCGATTCCCATTTCCTGTTCGGCGTGTGCCACGTCAATCGAATAATCGCGACTCAATCATTAGGCGAAAAACGGGAGTTGGGAATTCTCCACACTAGGCGCTCTTGCCAAAAAAGCAAACTCGAGCGCTTGTCAGATGGCTGCTGCACTGCTTTCAGTCCACCGGCCGAGTGTGCGTGTTTGTGGGGGGAAGTGCGTTCACCTTGAAAATAAAAATATGCCCCCCCCCCCCCCGGACCATAAGCCTGTTTGCGTTGTAAAAACGAATGAATGGGAAACCCCAGTATTTTTGATCTATGAATGGGGCTTTATAAACCGGAGTGTTTAAGTCATTTAACACTCCCAGTGTCCGGCTGCTTCACGTGCAGTGTTATACAGTGTTATGCGTATTCTTCGGTAGAAACGACGTGATTCTACGCTCATTTTAGTTCTACAATACTGTTATATTGACTGCAGAAGACTGTCGTAAAAGAGCCACCATAGTATTCGTAAATTACTGAGATTGTATAAGGAAGACCTTGGCCTGAAAACAGACCACTTATGGCGAGCCCCTCACCAACGACTATGTGTCTTGATAATTATAAACGCTTCCAATACTTGTGGTCGAATTAAATGAATCTTTTATTGTTCCTTCTGAAGATTATGAGAATCCTGTACTAGAAAATTATCGGTTGCCATCGCTAAGGTTATTGAGATCAGTGGTACTTGGAGTATCATGAGATCTACGCAAATGCCATGGCTGGCTTTCGACGTAGTCGATCATCGATCGATAGCGTCATCGTCCTAATCACGCCCGTTGAACACGAGAAAGGCCATAAGCGTCTTTGCGCCTCTGTGTTCCTTGACGTCAAAGGAGCCTATGATAACGTTACACATGAAGCCGTCCTTACCACACTAGGAGAGATTGGAGTGGGTGGCCGAATTTTAAGTGGATGCGCAGTTATCTCCAAATGCGATCCTATTTTGTGAGTGCCGAGACCGGGAACACGTCTACACATTTCAGTTATTGTGGCGTCCCTCAGGGTGGTGTACTGAGCCCCGTGATATTCAATAAAACACTAATTGCTCTCCATACGCACATACCAAACAACATTTATCAATCAACATACGCTGATGACATCTGCATCTGGACATCTGCGCTAACTCGCCTGCAGTTACGAGCGAGAATACAGAGAGCTGCTACTGCAACTGCTTTGTATCTACGCAATCCAGGCCTAGAAATTTCCTCCGGAAAGTGCGCTCTTCTGGCATTTATGCGCAAACCCATGTAGAATTACAGAGTGCCAATTAACGGTCAAAATATACCATATCGTCGATCTCACAATATTCTGGGTGTCATAGTCGACAGAGACATATCATGGAGCCCTCATGTGTCGTATTTGAAAAAAAAAAAAAACATCGACAGGCATATGCCATCTTTTCAAGTTTCTCGCTGAAAAGACTTGGGGAATGCAGCCTAATGCTATGTTACGACTGTACAGGGTGCTTTTCCTTGGTTTTTTACGATACAGTCTGCCTGCATTATCAAACGCCAGTAAAACAAGTCGACGCATGATACAAAGCGTTCAGGCACAGGCTCTTCGAATATGTCTAGGTCTGCCTCAGGGTGCCTCAGCAATGGCGACTATAGCTATAGCCAAAGGCCACCTCGTGCAGACCCATATTGAAATTGAAGCTCTGAGGACACACATAAGGCACGTGGGCCGGACACCCCATCACCACCTAGCCTCTCCACCAGCGGATAGACCCCATACTTCCTTTTGTCGAACAATAACTGCACATGGTGACTCTCTACCATCTGGTTTTACGCCCGCGGCGAGACCTTCAGTTCCTCCATGGTGCCTCAAACAGCCAGTCATCAACCTGACAATACCAGCCCTCAAGCAGCTCGCCTTACTTCTGCTGTACGAGAAGTACCAAGGCTGCACCCACGTCTACACCGACGGCTCCGTCCTGCCAAACAGGTCAACTGCGGCGGTCGTTATTCCAACGCACGCCACAACCATCAAATTCAGAGAAGCTCATGCAACCACAACAACGGCAGCAGAGCTTGCAGCGCATCGCGCTGCGCTGCGTTTCATTAACGACCAAAGCACGCAACGGTGGACGATTTTCTGCGACTGCAAGGCGGCACTGCAGTCATTTCTGTCAAATCTACGCCGTGGTCCACACGAGCAGTTCGTATTTGAAACAGCAGAAATGCTACACCATATAACAGAGAAAGGGCACTACGTTATATTTCAGTGGTTGCCAAGCCACTGTGGAATTATTAGTAATGAACGAGCTGATCAAGCTGCCCGTTCAGCCCATACATAAGACAACAACCAGTCAATACCTCTCTCAAGGACGGACGCTGCTAGGAGGCTCCGCATGCTCGCTCGCCAATGCTCCATGGCTCGTTGGAATGAGCCTCCTTTTACGCATGCAAGATTACAATACCTTGATCCAACATTAAGCATACAGCTTCCAACAAAAATTCGACGAGGCGATGCTACTGCTCTGTGCAGACTATGGTTGGGAGTCGCGTTTACCCGCGCGTACGCGTTCCGCATAGGTATGGCTGACACCGCCGACTGTGCGCACTGCGGAGATAAAGAAACCATTCACATATCCTGTGTGACTGCCCGAAGTACAACCTGGAAAGACAACAGCTTTCCAATAAACTATACAGGTTAGATGGCCAGCCGCTGTCGGAAGAAAGTATACTGCGCCATCGTAATGACTCATCGTCACAGAAGAAAGCCGTGCAAGCGCTACTGGGCTTCTTGCGAACTACTGGCCTGTCAGAACGCCTCTGAGTGGACTGATTTTGTGTGTGGGTGTGTGTCGGTGTTTTTCTCTTATTTTTTAACTCTCCCTTTCTCTTTCAACCCCCTATTCTCCAACCCCAGTGTAGGGTAGCATTCCGGATATTAGCATCTGGTCAACCTCCCTGCCTTCCTTTTTTTCTCGTTTCTCTCTCTTCTACATAGTTTGGCTTGAAGTAAGAGAAACACACAAAAAAGAAAGGGATGGGCAAGGTCGTCATTCTGTGTAGGTGAAGCAATGCTCTGGACAAAAACAAAACAAAAGACAACATGACACTTGCTCCAAGTGCGTTTTCTAATCCCGTGTGCTGCCGTACTAGATGATGATAAATCACCCGTTCGCTCAGTTGTCCACATTGCTGATCGGGCAGGCTGTCTTCCTTGTGTATGTGTGTATGTTGGGGCAAAGTACGTTCTTCAGAAAGCTCTAGCTATATGTCAATAAGCAGTTCTCTTATAGCAAAAGGGCTTTGCGAACTCACTATCAGTCCTGTCGTGCCGAAAGGCAATACGCTGTCCCGGAGCACAAGGTAGCGCAGGTTGGCGTTGCTCCACAGTACGCCTCCAATGTGTACAAAGTCCGAGAACGATGGAAGCCGACAGTCGACGAGGCGTAGTTCCTCAACCTGGAAGTAGTCAAGGGACACCGTTCGTAAATTAGACAGCATGGCAGCGAAACAAAGGCGAAAACAACGAGCCGATGAGTTAGAGTAGACTAATAGAAAAGACTCGCAGTAGACCTGATAGAAAACAGCGTGACGTCACTGCAAGCACCACGCCCACCAATCCTTCTCTCGGCGTAGCTGCTAGTTGGCAAGAAATTTTCGCCAACGGGACCTTTATGCATAGCAGGGTGGGTGTGTCTGCATTCTTTCAACAGAAATATAAATGAATTCCTTTTTTAAAACCACCAAAAAAGAAGAGTGAATGCCTCTTATGCACCATGCTGTTAGGCTAACATGTGGTGATTTTCTCATCGTAGATGACAGTCAATAAAAAAATATCGTGTCCTCTTCGAAGGTGACCGCTCTGCATGTTGATGGTGGCGGGTGATTTGAAAAAAATATTGACAGAAATATTGGGTGTAAATGTACTCGATTTTCGTCGTGACATGTGCAATGCAGTTTTAAATAAGGTATAGCATTCATGGCAGCATCGCATTGGGCTGCCGTGCGCGAGGCCATGGACAAGATTCTCACTCACTGCCTAAAATTTTGATCGATTATGAATGAGGGTAAAAGGAAATTTAAAACAAGAAAACACTTTTTGCTGTGCGTTAGGCTGAGGTTAATAAATCCTTGTGGGAACTAGTGCGAAGTTTTCGTCGGCGTTCCCGATAGCCCACTGAAAATTTATGCGATTTCAAACCCAATACCTAATTACATACACAAACCTTTGCGCAGTTACCTCGCTGCATCTGACGCCTACAACGTATTTGAATATAAAGATTGTGCCTTTACACCTGATTTTAAGAACTTGTAGTGAGCATTGTCTATTCGTAAAGATAGAGCCGTTAGTACGAAGTACTTGTAAAATAATCTCCACTGTTTATATTGAGATGATGTGAGGTCTGCGATAACACGAGTTATACCTTTATTGAACTGGCCTACTCGCCGTCATGAAGCGTGTGCGCAGCTTCAGCGGTGCTAAGCAGGCATATTGTCAAGGATAGTCCTATCTTTCAGCCCGAGTTGATGCACTTTTTTTTTGCACACAGCGCAAACGTTCATATGTACCCACTTGCAGACGATCGTGCCAAATGCATTCTTTCCTTCACTAAAATCTCGGATCAAGAAGTTTCATTGTCAACGAGTTCCTACCGTCAGCCAACAAGGAGTGGTAATGTTTTCGCAAGCAAGACGCATCGTTTTAAATGCAAAGCATTTCTTAGCGAACTTGGACTATTTTGACCGTGTCACTCACTCACTCAGTCACTCAGTCATTCACTCAGTCTGCAGAACTGGTATGGTATGGCATGACGGCATTATGAACATGAGGGGCAGACCCTAACATGAAAATTATGACATGCAAGTAATGCAAGTGATGACTACCCACCACGCTCATGATGCGTTCGTGGTCGTTTCGCTAGCTTCACGTATACGAAATTCAATATTACGGGACTTGAATGAATGATGGAAGTATATGACTGATGTAAACACGTTAATCTTGACATGAGTGTCATGTAAGACCATGGCTACATGCCGCACTCATAATGCGCTCACGGCCGTTTCGCTCGCTTCCCATACACAAAATTTCATATTACGGGACAAGAACGAAGGACGAAGGTAAATGACACGTCGAAACATGCGACATTTCATGACATGAAAGTCATCCATGGCATAACTTACATTCGCCTCGTAACGTTGTGCTGATTTCGAACTGACGTCATCCATCCTCACTCGTGCTTCGCATAGCATCGATTCCTACAGTACTTGTGATCTGCCAATTTTTCACACTGCTCACACGAAACAATATTCTCAGTGTCACCACACGTAAAGGTGTACTAGCATTGTTGATGCCTTCCAACGCACACTACACGCCACAATAAGCACTGCACACTTTCGAAGACGATGCTGCTGTTTCTCGCACAGGCCGCCACATTTGTTCGCTTATATAAGACAGTCAGCCAATGTGACAAGTATTTCGTCACGTAGTTTACTGCACACCTAGACGTTCTCTGCCCCTTACCACAGCCGCCGCAGCAAAATGAAGTTTAGGCTTTCAAAACAAAAAAGAAACCTTGCCCGATGCACCGCACCAGTGTACCACGCTGAGCCATCAGCGGGTGTGTGTTCCAACCACGCCTTTTGTTTGTGTCATTTACCTTTGTTGTCTATTCACGTCACGTGATACAAAGTTTGTTGTATGTGGAGCAAGCGAAACGGCTGCTAGAACGCGATGAGCGTAGCATGCAGTCATGTTTTCTATGACCCGAATATTATGGTTATGTGTGGACGTGTCGTTTACTTTCATCGTGCGCTGGCGTCACGTAATGCTGAACTTGGTATATGTGAAGCTAGCAAAATGGTCGTGAGCGATCCATTAGCATGGCATGTAGTGATGTTTTTACATAACACGCATCACATTATTATGTCTGCACCAGTCATATACCTTCGTCATCCATTCACGTCCCGTAATACCAAATTTGGTCTGTGTGAACCTAGCGAAACGACCGTGAGAGCACTATGAGCGTGGCATGTAGTCAAGACTTGCATGTTATGCGTGTAATGATTTCCACGTTATGGTCTACCATTTATATCCTTCATGAAGTCATGTCATTTCATGCCAGTTTTGGAATAAATTATCTGAACGAAACCACCGCAAGAGCAGCAAGACCATGAAATGTATATCATGACCTCAAGACATACATGCCATGATTTTTATGTTATGACTAGTCAATTTGCCCATCATGCAGTCATGTTATGCCATACCAATTTTGGTATCTGCACTATTATCCGAACGCCCAGGAGAGCTAGAAGTCGTAGGCAACTAGACAGACAGACAGATATTGTTATGGGAGTAAAGTATAGGCGATGAATACTGAGTTCGTGACAAGATTGATTGATTGATGATTAATTGCTAGATAGATAGATTAATTGCTAGATTGATTGATTGCTAGATTGATTGATAGCGAGATATATATATATATATCATAAGACGCGCTTCGGCGAGGGAAACCGCATCTGTTTTCATTTTGAACAAATTCAGAGCCTTAATGTCCAACGAGACAAAATGTCCAACAGGTCAAGTGGCCAGTGAGACAATATCCGATGGAGACGAAATGCGCAAACGAGACTGATTGAGCAACTCAGATTGATTGTACAACCGAGACGCAATTTTATGTTTGTAAAAGAAGATTGCACTTTAGTTAAAAATTTGTCAGATAACTGATTCATTGGCTGAAGACAGCGTAACGCAAGAACAGAGTTTGTGTGTTTTTGAAATACTTTGTGGGATCACGCGTCGCATTCTTTTCGTATTGTCTTGCATTCACCGTTATTTGAACTTTTTATTTTTTATTTTTATGGAAATATTACAAGTCTTACTTCATTTCTTTATGCACTGCAGGCACACCTAGCGTCTTTCTATCTATCTAGCCACCAACTTTTGTGTGCTCTCGTGATCGCACCATTAATTTGCGGTAAACCGAAATATGGAGGGTAAGATGATTTAACGAATATGGCTTGCTGGTCATGACATGAATACCGCTACAATTCTGTCACGTATGTCGTCAACCGACACGCCTGGTGCATTGATTGAATTGTGAGGTTTAACGTCCCAAAACCACCATATGATTATGAAAGACGCCGTAGTGGAGGGCTCCGGAAATTTCAACCACCTGGGGTTCTTTAACGTGCACCCAAATCCGAGTACACGGGCCTACAACATTTGCGCATCCATCGGAAATGCAGCCGCCGCAGCCGGGATTCAATCCCGCGTCCTGCGGGTCAGCAGCCCAGTACCTTAGCCACTAGACCACCACAGCGGGGCAGGCCTGGTGCATAACCGTATACCAAAGACGGGTACGTGTCACAGGTGATTGAAAGTTTATATCTACCTAGTATCTCAGAACATTCGTAATTAACACTGTCGCGTTAAGAAAAACCTGGGAAAGGAAGCATTGACTTGAAAAAAGCGAAGAATAAAGGTCAGTGTCCCAGCGGGAATCAAGCAGCAGCATTCTGCCTGGTAATCAAATATTCTGCCACAGAGCCATGCCAGCAATCACAGAACTGCTTTTCAATAGACCCTGATGTTTAGGATAACGTCAATTGTTGTTGAAGTGCTGGCTATCCAATTTTATAAACATTACATATGTAGTCGTATGATACAGCCATTACACATGTAGTCCTACGACTACATATGTAATGGCTGTATCATACGACTACATATGTAACGACTACATATGTATTCACGTTAACCTATGTCAAGTTAACGTGAATTGTAGTAAACCCCATCCGCTGACTGATTCATGTAGCCATGCCAAGCTCCACCATCCTCGCTAGCACAGGTGCTACATATAAGCTTACTGAACCTGGTTTCGCTGATATCCTTGTTGCTGTTGGCATCGTTGCGCAACCATAAACAACTTATATAAACTCAATTCCAGTGTGCGTGTGTGTGTACAACTTTTGCAGAAATGTTTACTTTCCCTGAATAAAAAAAAATACATCACAGTCAACTTCCCTGCGCTTGCTTTGCGCAACATTGATTCCCAGGGTACGTGGAATCTGTCGATTTTTTTCGCGTAGTATGCCCCTTCTCTTTATTTCTGTCATAAATTCAATTTCGCACCCCTTTCAGAACTACGAGAGAGGGTGCTCCCTCACCAATTTCGCGCGATATTTGTGCGTTTATTTTCCGTGATCGCTTTCCGGTGCCACTGCACATGATGTTCACACGAGGTGGCAGCTGACCACTAAATATGTTACCTAATGCATAATGTCTGCCGACTGCAAGGCCTGGTTACGAAAGTGCAAAAGAAGAATAATTGTTCTAAGAACTCATTTATTTGTTGGAAAACCAAACGCCAATTTGGCAAAATGAATTGTTGGAGACAACATTTGTTGGTTTTTACAGCACCGCTGTTAGGCACCAGTTCCTGCACTTAAGCGGCATGGCCATC